GGACACATTCTGGGTCAAAGATCAACCCCCCAGGATCAGACACCCCTGCACTAACCAGCCCAAAACTTACTCCCCAAAGCAAAAATGACAAAACCAGTTATAAAAGGGAGCCCCAAATCTTTCTTCACTTGCAGATCTTTCCTGTCTCCCCAGCTGCTTCTCTTAGCAGTGTATTTGAACAAATGTGCCTTTTCTGTTCTCCAGTCTGCCTCTGGTGAAATTTTTCACCCCTGCACCTCTGGCCTGTCAAAGTATCATTAAGAATTTGAAAACCAAGCTCCCACTCCTTACCCAGCAGGCAAGTAGGGGAGGCTGGAATGATAAAGGGAGTGGATGGGACTGCCATGGAAACATGGTCCTTAAGCTGGTGAAGCCCGGAACTGATGACCCTCTATGCTGATTCGGATCATCAGTCAGGACACACCCAAGACTAGTCACCCTAACCAGTCAATGGTTCTAAAGTATAGAGACTTGGGACCCAAACTCTGAGCAGTACACCCTTCCTGTTTCGCCCTCTGCTTCTTTTAGCAGTGTATTTCAATAAATTCACCTGGTATTTCCCATCTGTCTCTGGTGAACTCTTTCACCCCTGCAACAGGGCCTCCACCTTGATTCTTCCCCACAACATTCTATATCAATAATCTTTGTTAGATAGAGTGGTGTGATTTCTTATAAAAGAAGATGGAACCTAACCTCTTCAACTACACCAATCTTCTATTTACCCAAACATCTACTCTTTTTCTCTGAATTCAGCAAATAGAAATGAAACTTTAAAAAAAAAGCAAATAGCAATTACATCTACCAAGTTGCTCAGGATAGGAACTTTGGCAGCATCTTTAATTTCTGTCTTTCCCTCACTTTCTATACCCATCCACATCAGTCCTATTAGCTAACAACCTATGCAATGCACCACTCTGACCCACTCCTCTCTCTTTGTCTACTGCAAGTTTCTTGGTTGTTTTCCTGTTGCATTCTTGTTCTCCTACAATCTAGTTTCCCCAATGCAAAGAGATTTTTCTCAAACACAAATTATTCAATTCACTCCACTCGCCAACACCTCTCTCCATTTTCACAATTAGCATGAAGTTCTGAGTGACTAGTTTCTGTGAATATCTTTGACCTTATCTCACAATTCCTTCTCCTTTGTCCACATGAAACACTGACCTCCTTTTTCTTACTGCAGGGTGATTCAGTCCTTTCTGCCTCTCTGTGCTCCCCTCTGCAATTGTGCTTTCTCCCAAACTTTGCTGTATGCATCCTGGTCTGTCAATAGAGTTCATATTGTCATTTATTGAAGTCTTATCATTTCCATGAAAGAATAATGTTTTCATAGCTTTACAGATACATACATTTTATTAAAAATATCCTTAAGGGTTTCATATTTTGATGTTATCCTGAATGGTATTGAAAATTCAGCTGGTTTGTTTCGATCCTTTTTACAGATCCTATAACCATTTGGTATTTCTCTGTTGGATTATTTTAAAACTTATTTATATTGCTTTTTTTTTCCCTGTCACTGAAAAGTCAGTTTTAACATTCTCTCTATATTTTAATCACTAGAACACTATCAATTCTACAAAAGTACAGTGTAGTTTCTCAATAATTAGTCATTGTTTCTTTTGAGTGAATATCATATATAGGTAACCTTGGAAAAAATGATTGACCTCTCTTCTCAAAATCTCCTTCCTCAGATACTTATTAATGTATTTGTAAGTGCACATATTGATATATGTAATATACATAGAATTAAAACAATGATACTTATACTTCCTGATATTTATCACTATTAAATCAATTTTGGTAAGTGTTAAAAGCATCGTAAAAAACGAAGTATTCTGAATTTCCTAACATTTTTGTTTAGTATTTAAGCACATTGGTATTGTTATGACCTATTGTGTTTGTAGTTTGTTCCTTCTCAAAGGAAATATTGTGTATATAGTATTATTATTTAATGTTATTTTTCTACTAAACTAGACTCCATGACACAATTATAGCCCCCAAAAAGAAAGACATGCTGAAAAAGAAATCTGAAATTACCTCTTGAAAATTTTAGAATTTAAACCTTACTAGTTAACTCCAACAGTAGTAACTGTGCCTCCTTTTTTTAAAAAAAAAAAATTAAGATTTATTTTATTTATACAAAAACTGTGGTAAAAGCCAAATTCGCGGGAGGGTGAGAGGATTCCCCAGAGACAGAGCCTGGAACAGAACAGGCAGACTGACTGAAATCCACTGCTGAGGGGAGCAGCGGGCGGGGCAGGAGGGGTCTGCGCGCCACGTGGGCCCTCGCGGGCGCGGCAGAGGCTGTGGACAGCTCCCCAGCGCGCGCCCAACCGCCTGCGCCCCCTGTTTGCTGTTCTCCCCACAGTGTGAGCGCGACAGTAAAGCATCTGCACAAGGCAGGGCCAGGATGGGGACGCCTGGAAAAGCCAAAACCCAGGCCGGGATTGCTCAGGACAGATGAAAGGGCCTCTCGGGCATTCCAAGGGTTGTCGTTAAGCGGCAGCTTCTTCCTTAAAGCTGAGAAACCGCTGGGGGTTCCCTCTGCCAATGGCTGTGGCCTGTGGCTCTGACGCCACAAAGAGCCCTTGTGACGGCACCGGCACCGCCTGCATCAGGCCCGCCCGGACTGCGCCTGTGTCCTCAGGAGCCGGGAAGCTCTGGACAGTGACCTGTGCACTCCGGACGCCGAGAGAGACAGTGAGAGCCTGTTTTGGGGTATTTGGTTTTCTTTGGGTTTATTTATTGCTTTACTTATTTAGTTATTTGTTTAGGCTATTTATTTTAGTTATTTTACTTTTCTTTCTTTGTTTTTTCCATTATTTTCCTTGATTTTTTTTTTTTGTATTTGCTTATACTTTTTTCTATTTTTTCTTTTTCCTTTTATTTCCTTGTTTTTTTTCCTTTATTGTTTTGTTATTGGCTTTTTTTTCTTTTTTATGTCAGTTTTTAGTTTTTTGATTTTATTTTTTGAATGATTTCCCCCATTTTCCCTTCTGTTCTTGTTTCATTGCTTGTTCTTTCTTCCCCTTTGTCGTTTCTCTGGTTTTTTGTTTGTTTGTTTTTTCCAGTTTTTAGTTTCTAATTGTGGTTTGTTCTGTTGTTTATTCTATTGGTCTTTGTTGTTCTGTTTTATTCTTCAATTTAGTGGTTAGTTTGTAATTGGTTTGTTATATTTTTACATTTTTGTCTCATTTGTAATTTTTTTGATTGTGTATTTTTATTTATTTGTAGTGTAGTTAGTATTGCTAGTAAGGTGAGTGAAGTTAGTATTGCGGGTTAAGTTAGCATTGTTAGTATTTAGTGAGGTTTAGTGAATACTTTTTGAGTACTATTAATACTAGTCCATTTGTTAATATCGTAGGAGAGTCAGTTGTCAGCGGAGGTAGCGCAAGGGCTGTGAGCACAGTCAGGGCTGGTGAGTGTAGTTGGCGTAGTCCAAGTGCACAGGCGCTATGTGCAATCGCCTCAGTCCCCAGGGACATAAAGTAAAAAGCTACCAGGCGTTGCGGGCGCTGGGGCGGGGCACCCACACCAAGGTTATGCTGGCGCTGCACGCGCTCATGGGCATGAAGGTGCTCATCAGGGAAGTCCGCAAGTCCGAGCTGCCTGACCTCCGCCTCCTGGCCCGCGAGATGGGGTGCATGAAGGCCCTTTATCACCCGAACATCGTGGAGCTTTTCCAGGTGGTGGACACTGGGCCGAAGCTACACCTCGTCATGGAGTACGTGCAGAGGGAAGACCTGCAGGACTTCCTGAGCGAGCGTGGGCACCTGGAGGAGAGCGTGGCCTGCCAGCTCTTTCAGCAGATCCTCGTGGCCCTCAGATACTACCATGCCAAGGGCATTGCACACCGGGATGTGAGGCCCCGAGAACGTTGTGCTGATCTGAGAAGGAAAAGTCAAGCTGGCAGACTTCTGGCTCAGCGTCCAAGGCTTCCCCCAGGCACTGAGCACGTGCTGCTGTCACCCAGAACACAGGGCCCCCGAGGTCTACCTTGGCCAGTGGTACAACGGCCCCAAGGTGGACGTGTGGAGCCTGGGCATATTGTGACCGGCATACTGCCCTTCAGGGTGCCAAGCCTCAGGGCGATCAGGGAGCGCGTCCTGGGCGGGAACGTCCACCTGACCTCCTACCTCACAGTCCAGGGCGGGGACCTGCTGGCCAAAATGCTGGCACAGGACCCCTGGAGGCGCGGCCCCTGGAGAGCATCCAACAGCATGCCTGGGTAGCAGAAAGAGCGAGGGACTCCTGCCCTTCAGCGAGCCATTGCTCAGACCCCAGGACTCAGCCATAATCAAAGCTATGGAGCGCCTGGGCTACCAGAGGCAGGAAATTCGGGAGGCCATTGACGCTAACAAGTACGACTAGGTCATGGCCACCTACCTGATTCTCCACTCCAGGAAGCAGGAGGGGGAGGAGTACCACAAAGAAGAGGGGGAGGAGCGGCCGAGGCACATCACCTTCCGGGAGCCTGGTGACCCCGATTCCAAGGACTGCCCCCCCCACCCCCCACAACCTGAGGTTTCGGGGAATACCCCAAGCCAGTTATCCTGCGAAAGTACCCAGTTGAAAAGAGCGGAAAGGATGCCCCCACCCCACCTCCTGCAGCCTGAGGTTTTGGGGAATACCCGAAGGCCAGGTATCCTGCGAAAGCAGGAAGTCCGAAAGAGGGGAAAGGATGCCACCCCGGGCAACAGGGTCATCTCCGCCAGGCACCTGAGCTGGAGGACGCCCAGGAGCACACCACTGCTGCAGGTCCTAGCGCCCTGCTAGAGGACACCCCAAAGGGCAGACCCTCCGCGCTAGGCCCAGAGCTGGAGGACGCCTGGGGGGACACCAGCACCTCTGTGGTCGGACCCCAGCAGGAGGACACCAGGGAGCACAGCAGCACCTCGGTGTCAGTCCTCCAGCTGGAGGACGCTGGGGAGCACGGCAGCACCACTGAGACAGGCCCCCAGCTGGAGAGGGACCAGGAAAGCAGGGCCAGCACAATCAGTCCAGCTCCCCAGCCCTCCAGCACCACCCTAAGACCTCCCCCAAGACGTGGCTGGCCTTTCAGTGCAGTGGCCCCTTCAGCAATCATCAGGGCCAGAGATAGGGTATTAGAAATTATCCTGGAATTTTGTTGCTGCTGTGCAGCATTGGAACTGGAGAGCAACAAAGATTGAAAATAGCGCCATACCCGGCAGAAGACCTCCACCCCCAAAGCACAACCACTCAGTGGCCATGGGGAACAGGAGTACACCAGGGAAGGTTGAGGCTCTCGAGAGGCTCGGGCTGGGCCCAGTCAGATGGGCCAGGAGTAGCATGAGACTCACAGGACTGCAGCACAGAAGTCTGGGCAGCACAGATGTCCCTGGAGCAGAGCAGGTGAAGGGCCAGGCAGGCAACGAAACTGGTGAAGCACCTGGAGGGGAGCAGAGCGGGTGAGGGGTGGGGTGTGGAGGGGTTGGGGAGAGCTGAGCAGGTACAGGACCAGGAGAGGGGTGTGGGGCTGTGTGGGCAGAGCCTCCAGAGGCCCCAGGGCCAGAGGCGGGGAACCCTGGACCACTCTCCCCCATCTTAGGTTCTGCCCCCTTGGTGGGAGAGACCTGCTGCTCACTCCTGGGCACATGGATGGTGCAGAGGATGCAGGAGCTCTTGCAAAAGCTTAGGTCCAGGTAGTAATACGTGCAGATTGCAAGGAGCAGATAGAGAGGCTCTCTAGCTTCCCTTAAGAAAGACTCGGGGACCAGTATATTAGAATCCAAATGGGACTCTCCAAGGTGGGCAGAGGTTATTCACAGAGCAGCCCTACTCCACCACAACCTGCTCAGCTGGAAAATCCGCACATCTTCCTGCTCCATGAAGCCTAGGCTATGATCAATCTCAGTCCCGCAGCGAGCACAACTAGGTGTCCAGTGTCCCCTGGACCGAAGCTGCAACTCGTCATGGAGTACGTGCAGGAGGGATTTTGCAGCTTGGGATTCTTACACAGTGTCAGCCCAGCTGGAATTTCTCCTTTTAAAAATCCTCTCCAGATGGCCACCCACCCCTCCTCCTCCCTGGATTCAAACCCCCCAGTGTGACCTTAGCCAAATTGGAAACATATCACCTCATAGATGCAGGCTTTGGACAACATTCTCTGCCAATTAAATCACTGGATACAGGAATGAAAAGCTACAGTGGCTATCTACCTTTTTTCATTATTGTTTAGATGGTGTTCAATTCCCTTCTAAAACTAAGGTTTTGCTAAGTCTGGTAAATGCAAGTGAGGTGAGGTATGTGTGTTTGAAAAAAGAAAATATGGAAGAGGGATATTCTGAAGGGCCTTAAGATAATGTAAAGCAGGATGGGTAAAATGAAATGGCATTAGAAAGAAAGCAAGCAAAAGAAAGTGTTGAAGGTCTGAGAGAGATTTTGGTGAGAAATCGTGTGTACTCAGGTGTCCCCCTCCTCCAACACATTCATGGGCTTGCTCATCTGACCAGCAAAGCCCCCTCTGACTGACCCTTCGTCAGCCGAAGCTGGGGCCAGGACATCCAAACATGGACCAGCTCTCCCTTACTGCCATGGATCCTTCCCATAGTAGGACCAGTGATCATGATCATGCTTTTCTTTGTTTCTACACCCTGTTTGCTCTGCTTTATCCAGAAAAAGCTCTCTGAGATGAGCCTTCACTCTCCCAGACCCGGGAAAGCCATTCCTGTTATTGACAGATGAGCAACAGGGCATTGCTCTAGGGGTTCTAGGCCAACCTGGGCCAGTCCAGTGACCAGTTGCTTATTTCTCTAAACAAATGGATCCCACTGTAAGAGGATGGCAGCCCTGCCTGCGTGCACTTGCGGCAGCTGCTCGTCTCGCTAGACAAGCCTTAAAACCCACACTGGGCCAACCTGTAAATGTTAGTTCTCCACATCGGCTCCAGGACCTGCTCATTCACCAGGCTCTCTCCCCTCCATCACCCTCTTGTCTGTTAGATTTCTACTCTCTTTGTCAAAGACCCTCTCATCTCCCTCTCCCAATCCGCGACTCTCCATCCTGCTAGGCCTCACGGGTGTTCCACACCCTAACGCAGGTAACACCCTCTTCTTACTATGGTGGACACCATCACCAGTCGGACAGTGGACCTGCCTTTATCTCAAAGATTACTCCACAGGTCTCCTCCCTGGGCATCACCTGGGAACTACACATTCCCTCCCGACCACAACCCTCTGGTAAGGTAGAACGGGTAAATGGTCTGACCAGAGACCACCTAGCCAAACTCTCCACTGAGCCCGCAAATTCTGGGTGGAGCTGCTCCCACTGGCTTTAATGCACCTCCGAGCCACTCTCTGTGGCCCCTTGTTCCAGAGCCCCCTTGAAAGGATGTATGGCAGACCTCCTCTTACTAACCATGAGCTCCCCATCCAACCTACACCGTTGTCTGGATATTTTCCATACTTCTCTTTGCTCAGACAGCTACTCCAAGAACACGCAGACTTGTCTGCCACAACCTGTGCCTCCGTCCCCTGATGCACCTGTCAACTTGCTGTGTCCTGGAGACCAGGTTCTTCTGAAAGCCATCTCTCTAAAACCACTTCCGCCAAAGTGGATGGGTCCACACACGATCATCCTGACTACACCAACAGCTGTCAAGCTCTTGGGCAACACATTCTGGCATCAGCTGTCCAGGGTCAAACCGGTCCCTGTGGACAAGCAGTATGTATGCGAGTGCTGGGCCCAACTCGGGTATGCATCAATGCTTCCCTGGTCCACATCCCACTCAGCCTAAAGAGTAGAGGCCCTCTGATTCTCCTTCCTCTGTTTCTTTTCTTTTTTTTTTTTTTAAAGATTTATTTATGCAAGCACTGGGTACAGTCAGAAGCACAGGAGGGTGAGAGAACTCACCAGAGACAAAGCGAGAGCAGAACAGGCAGACTTGACGAAGCACACTGCTGAGGGGAGCAGTGGGCAGCAGGAGAGGTCTGCCCGCCATGTGGGACCCTCGCCTTGAGGCCAGGGATTGAACCGGTGCTGTAGGGGCTATGGGCAGCTTCACAACCCAGAGCTCAACTGTCAACCACTGCACCACTGGGGAGGCCCCTCTCCTTCCTCTGTTTCTAATCCCATCTCTTCAAGCCACTTCCAGTTCTTCTGTCTATGCCCAGCAATTCCAGATCAGCACAGCCTCGGGCAAAGTATTAGCACTCATAGGGCTTCTTATCCTAATCTCCTCATTTTTTCTTTTTGCCCCATGCTTGCTCCGTTTCATCCAACACCGGATCCAAGAACTGTCCCATACCACCTTTAACCAACTCCTTCTCCACCCATATCCTCACATCCCTGCAAAGACTGTCTCATAGCCAGGCCTGAGCCCCACCCTGGTCTTCGCCCCTGTCTAGCAGGAAGTAGCCAAAGAAAGAACCATTGCCCCTTTTCAACAAAAGGCTGGTATGAAAGGCTGATGCAGGGGCCAGAAATGGGGAAGCCCACATACAAACAAGATGGCCCTGACACCAGTACCCCTGATTCCATCAAACCAAAACTGAAGCCATAAGCAGGAGAAAACTACTCGGCTCCATGAAAAAACAACGTTGTTCCACCTAAACCTGTTCCCCCCCCCTGCAAACCCAGTTTTCCTGCCTAACCTCTCCTCACCCTATAAAATGACATCTCCCCCCACAACGGGCATGACTTCAGGGACCCCCACCTTGGGTCCACGAAGATCGCCCGGGGGCGCAATGAATTTTCCCTTCCTTTGAGAAAGTTTAGCTTGGCTCCCCTTTTCTTTACTGCACCAAACTGTTACAGGGCAACCCTGGTATAAAAAGGGTTGTCTGACTGTTTCCTGATTCTGGTGGAGTGTTTCAGATTCTGGTGGAGCTGCCAGGACAGGGCCGGTTCTGAGATGGGCAGAGTTGGGGGTCCTGGAGGGCGGCATCCTGGTGGTGAGATGCTCTGTGAGGAGTCAGAGAAGCAGGGCTCAGAGGAGAGGAGACTTGGGGGAATGCCCTGGGTGTGAGGTTTCCAGCTTTTCTCCCCAGGACCCCTCTCTCCAGCGTCTGGATAACAAAACCTGGGTAAACAGGAAAGTAGATCATTTTTTCCTTTTACAACCTATTTAGTATTGAGGACATTAAAAAAATATATAACATTTAATGAAAACTGTTAAATTTATAGAAAAGTTGCAAAGATAGTACAGTTCTTATTTATTCCACACCATTTCCACTTTGTTAACATCTTACATGAATTTTTTTTGTATTTTTTTTTACAGCTAATGAAGCAATATTGACACAATTACCAAACTCTGTGCTTAATTTCATTACTTCTTCCTAATGTACATTTTATGTTCGATAATCCAAATTGCCTCATTCAGTTAGAGCCAGTTCTCTTCGATGTGCCTCTTGCTGACTGTTTCTCTGACTTTGCTTGTTTTTATAACATTGACATTGGTGAGGAGTGATATTTTGGAGAGGTGTTGGGTTCACAGTTGGGGTTCTTGGGTCATGTCTGAGAAAACTTTCACCAGATTCCCCCATTCACATACACAGTGAGTTTCCCCACAAGACAGAGACTTTTAGTCTCTGCCAAAGAGAAGTTTTATTATTTCTTTTTTTTTTAAAAAAGGGAAAGAGTCAGAACTCTGCTACCCTCCTCCACCCACTGAGTAGGCTCTCTCCGACCAACGGAAAGGAGGGAAAAAAAAAAAAAACCAGCAAGAACAAACTACAGATCAAGTGGGACACTGAGTAGAGAGGAACTATTTCAGGCACCACACCCCACAAATGGGAACTGTGGAGAACGGTGAAGAAATCACCACAGAGGTGATCTAGCGGCTCCGGGAGCCATCAGAGGAAGACAAGGATTCCACGGTGACCTACAAATAGTCTAAGGCCAGCCGAGAACCACTGGGAAAAAGCAAAGGTCAGCAAGGACAGGTCTCTGGTGCCACCTCATGACCAGAACAAAATCACCAACTAACTGATTCCCTGTTGGAACTAAATAAATACAGAGGGAGGGAACTGTAAGGGACAGTGCCCAGCAACACAGCATCAACACTCTGGTGGAGTTTTGGTCTACCAGTGCTAATCCCAGTCTGGTGAACAGTTTCTGACACCCCTAAAGGAGCACTCCAAAGAGATGCTCGCCAACACCAGTGGCACATGTCCCAATGAATAGAACTAAATTGAAAGCAAACAACAGGGAGAAGAAAACATAAATAACCAAGCAAGCCTGCAGGGGAAGGACACACCACAAAAAGAAATACAGTCACCAGAGCTCAACAATGACATGGAAGAACTTCTCGGCCTATCAGATAGAGAATTAATGCTCATCATGATCAAAAACAAAGAAAACAAAAATGAAAAAATGATTTGAGACAAATAATCACTGAAGAATGAAATTGAGACCTTAAGAAAGGAAAGAAAAGAAACACAGGAGATTAAAAGATTACTAGAGGAGATAAACAACTCTGGGAAAAGCAATGAAAACAGAATTGATGAAATGGAAAAATGGATCAGTACTATCTCAGGTACAGAAATAAAAAGAGTCAAAAGAAAAGAGATAGAAGAGCAAATAAAGAAGTATGAAGATACTCTTAGACAATTATCAGACTCCATGAAGAGAGGAAACATAAGAGTTATAGGCATTCCAGAAGGTGAGGAGACAAAGGAACAGAGAAATTATTCAAGGAGACAATTGAAGAAAATTTCCCTAGTATGAAAAAGGAGACAAACATAGACATACAAAAAGCGAGAAGAACTACCAATTACCACAATGAAAAGAAAACTACAGCAAGACACCAAATAGTAAAGCTTGCAAGAGTCCAAGACAAGGAAAAAATAAAACAGGCAAGGGGAAGAAAAAGATAACTTTAAAGGGAAAACCAATCAGGTTAACTTCAGAATTCCCCAAAGAAACATTACGGACAAGAAGAGAATAGAGTAACATATTCAGCAAACTTCAACACAGCAAATGCCAACCAAGAATACTTTACCCTGCAAAGCTCTCCTTCCTCTACAAAGAAAAGATATGGGCCTTCTCAGACAAACAGAAACTCCAGAAATTCATTACAATTAAACCACCACTCCAAAAAAATTCTACAAGTCCTAAAGCCACAACCAACAGAGGAATGAACAAGAAGAACAGAACAAACGAAGGAATAAAATCACAAAAAAAGACAAACAAAATGGCAAATACAGATGCCAACATATCAATATTAACTCTAAATGTAAATGGATTAAACTCATCAATAAAAAGACAGAGTAGCAGGCTGGATTAAAAAAATAAATCCAACCTTTTGCTGTCTCCAGGAAACACATTTTAACCACAAAAGATAAACATAGACTGAAAGTAAAAGGTTGGAAAATCATCCTACAAGCAAATGGACCAAAAAAGAAGGCAGGAACAGCCATACTTATATCAGTTGAAATTGACTTCAAATTAAAAAAGGTAAAAAGATGCATAGACGGACACTAAATTATGATCAAGGGGATAGTACATCAGGAAGATATAACACTCATCAAAATGTACTCACCAAATGAGGGGGCACCAAAATATATTAGACAATGATTATCAGTTCTGAAAACAGACATGAAAGAAAATACATATACAGTGGGATACTTCAACACCCCACTCTCACCAATGGACAGATCAATGAGACAAAAACAAAGACTATAACCCTAAATAAAGACATAGAACTCATGGACTTGACAGACACTTATAGGACACTGCACCCAAAGAAATCTGAGTACACAATTTTCTCAAGTGTGCATGGAACATTCTCCAGAATTGATCACATACTGGGCCACAAGACAAACATCTACAGATACACAAAGATCAAAATCATTCCAACTATCTTCTCTGATCATAAAGGCATCAAGCTAGAAATAAATCATGAAAAGAAAACAAGGAACATTCCCACTTCATGGAGATTGAAATCCATACTATTGGAAGACCACTGGACTAATGAGGGGATCAAAGAAGAAATTAAAAAATACTTTGAGTTGAACAACAAGGAGGACATCACTTTTCAGAATGTATGGGATGCAGCAAAAGCAGTAATAAGAGGAAAATATATAACAATCCAGGCTCACATCAAGAAACAAGAAAGAATTCAAAGAAACAACCTAATCTCACATCTTAAAGAGCTAGAAAAAGAACAAAAAAACCCTAAAGCCAGTAGAAGAAAGGAAATAATAAAAATCAAAGCAGAAATAAGCAGATTGGAAATTAAAAAAAAATTATCCAAAAGATCAATGAAACCTAAAGTTGGTTCTTTGAAAAAATAAACAAAATAGACAAACCTCTAGCCAGGCTCACAAAGAAAAAATGGGAGAAACATATAAATATGATTATAAATGAAATAGGAGAAATCTCAACAGAATCAGTAGAAATCAAAAGGGTAATCAGAGATTACAGTGAACACTTACATGCAAACAAATTCAACAACCTAGAAGAGATGGACAAATTCCTTGAATGATATAATCATCCAAAGCTGGACAAAGAAGAAATAGAACAACTAAACAGACCAATTACAAGCAGTGAAATTGAGGCAGTGATCATAGCACTCCCCCAAAACAAAAGCCCAGGCCCAGACGGTTTCACAAATGAATTCCACCAAAAAATAAGCAGAGAATTAGTACCTATCTTACACAAACTCTTTCAAGAAATTGAAAAAGAAGGAATACTACCAAACACGTTCTGCAAAGCCAACATTACAATAATACCAAAACCAAACAAAGACAGCACAAAAAAAGAAAATCCTTGCCAACAGAATCCAACAATACATCAAAGAAATAATTCCCCATAATCAAGTGGGATTCATCCCAGGGACACAAGGATGGTTCAACATATGAAAATTGGTAAGTGTAATCCAACACATCAAGAAAAAGAAAAAGAAAACCCATATGATCATATCAATAGATGCTGAGAAAGCATTTGACAAAGTCCAACATCCATTTATGATGAAGGCCCTTGAAATTCTCGGGATAGAAGGAACATACCTTAACATGATAAAAGCCATATACAACAAACAGTCAATATTATTCACAATGGTGAAAAGCTGGAGGCCTTTCCTTTAAGATCAGAAACAAGACAAGGATATCCTCTCTCACCACTGCTCTTCAATATAATACTGGAGGTCCTAGCCAGGGCAATAAGACAAGAGAAAGACATACAAGGAATTCAAATAGGGAAAGAAGAAGTAAAACTATCACTATTTGCAGACAATATGATACCATACATAGAGAACCCTAAAAACTCCACAGAAAAACTACTCAAAATAATCAACCAGTTCAGTAAAGTAGCAGGATACAAAATCAACACAGAAGCATCAGTAGCCTTCCTATATACAATCAACCTGAAGGAGAAATCAAGAACACCATCCCTTTTATAATTGAAACAAAAAAAAATCAAATACTTGGGAATAAAACTAACAAAAGAGGTGAAAGACCTATACAAAGAAAATTATAAAACACTGTTAAAAGAAATTGAAGAGGACACAAAGAAATGGAAAGACAGTCTCTGCTCATGGATTGGAAGAAATAACATTATTAAAATGGCCATCCTCCCAAAAGCAATATAAAGATTCCATGCTATTCCAACAAAAATCTCAATGACATTCTTCAAAGAAATAGAACAAATACTGATGAAATTTATATGGAACCACAAAAAACCTCAAATTGCCAAAGCCCTACTGATGAAAACAAAGGAGAAAGGAGGTATCGCCCTTCCAAACTTCAAGCTATACTACAAAGCCATAATAATTAAAACAGTTTGGTATTGGAACAAAAATAGACACACAGACCAATGGAACCAAATAGAGAGCCCAGAAATAAAGCCATACTTTTATGAACAACTAATCTTTGACAAAGGAGTAAAGAATATGCAATGGAACATGGACAGTTTGTTCAATAAACTGTGCTGGGAAAACTGGACCTCCACATGTTAAAAAAATGAAACTAGACCACTACCTCTCACTCTGCACAAAAATCAACTCAAAATGGATAAAAGAACTGGACATAAGATCTGAAATCATAAAATATATAGAAGAAAATATAGGTAAAACACTGCAAGACATACATCTCAGAAATATCTTTAAAGACATCACTCAAAGCAGTGATAGTGAAGACAAAGATAAACACCTGGGATTACATCAAACTGAAAAGCTTCTGTACAGCCAAAGAGACATTAACCAAAATAGGGAGACACCCCAGTGATTGGGAAAACATCTTTGCACTCCATTCAACTGATAAGGGACTGATCACAAATTTATACAAAGAACTCACACGGCTCAACAAAAAAAAAATAAACAATCCGGTCAAGAAACAGGCAGAAGAACTTAAAAGACATTTCTGCAAAGAGGAAATGCAAATGGCCAACAGGCACATGAAAAAATGTTCAACATCCCTTATAATCAGGGAAATGCAAATCAAAACCACACTGAGATACCACCTTACACCAGTAAGAATGTCACATATCAAAAAACAAGCAACAACATATGTTGGCGAGGATGTGGTGAAAAAGGAACTCTCCTACACTGCTGGTGGGAGTGCAAACTGGTCCAACCACTATGGAAAGCTGTCTGGAGTTTCCTCAGTCTACTAAAAATGGAGCTACCATACAACCCGGAAATTCCACTACCAGGGAATCTACCCAAAGGAAACAAAAACATTGATTCAAAAGAACACCTGTACACCTATGTTTATTGCAGCACTATTTACAATGGGTAAAACCAGAAACAACCCAAATGCCCAAAAACAGATGACTGGATCAAGAAGATGTGGTATATATATAAAATGGAATATTATTCAGCAATCAAAAAAAGATAAACTCATGCCATTTGCAGCAATGTGGATGGAGCTAGAAGGAATTATGCTCAGTGAAATAAGACAGAAGGAAAAAGAAAAATATAGGATGATTTTACTTATAACAGGAATATAGGGGAGCCTAATAAGACATCAGTGTAAAAAAATAATAGCAATACAAAAGACAACAAAACAAAAACAGACAATTATAAATCAGAGACATCCTGCAGGAGAGGAGGAGGAAGAGGCATTAGAGGGAAGGAGGGAGGAGCACAGGGGACTGTGGTGATGGTGCACAGGTGCCTTGGGGAAGGAAATTCTGTGGAGACTCAAACTGAAGGGATGGGGGGAAGCAGATCAACTGGACACTTACCCATCTCCCATGGGCCCTTGGCAGCAGACCCTTTGCTAGGCGGCAAGGTGGGATGTGGCAACTGAGGGAGCAGTTGGCTCTGAAGGGTCTGGAGGCTGGAGGGGTGGCCTTTGAGACTGATGTGTAGAGGTGGGCAGTGTTCATCCCCGTGGATAGTGGGTGACATGGGAGTCCCAGACAGAGGGTGGGTGCAGGAGATGATCAGGATCTGGAGCCCAGAAAGCGCTTGGCAAGAAGGTAAGGTGCCTGGGGTGCCCTGGGCTGGAAGATGACCTCGTCCCGATGTGGGAGGGAACACCGAGCTCTGGGTCTCCAACTGCATTGGGTGGCATCTCATTGTGTCTTCTGTCTGTCCAGTCCCATCAGAACATGGAGGTGACCGGCTCGCTCCAAATGGAGCAGCACACCAGGAGCGAGCTGGCCATGAAACTCGGCCAGCTGCAGGAGAAGCTGGCAGAGCTGAAGGAGATGGTAAGTCCTGTGCCAGCTGGGAAGGGCTCGGAGGCCTCCGGGAGGAAGGTCCTTAGGCCAGGACATAGGTAGCTCCAACTCAGGGCTGGGGGGCACTGGTGACCCTGCAGTCCTGCCAGGTCCGTGACCACCTGTGCCCAGGGTCTGACATGGAGTGGTGGGTTCCCCGGGACTGCAGGTCACCTGCCCTGCTGGAGGTTGAGCCACTAGGGGAGAGACGAGGAGACGTGGAGACATCCTGGTTCCAGACTTGGCTCTGGGGTTGTGCTTCACTGAACAGGGTTGAGCCTCAGCATCCTTCACTTCAGAGAGCACTGGAAAGCAGTTCTGCTGCAGTTGAAGGAAGGGGCCTGGGCAGGTGGCAAAGTCCCACAGTGCCTGTCCCCCCACCTTTGTGGGTGCAGATCTGGGAGTTGCCTCGGTGGTCTCCACTCTGTTGCTCCACCACAAGTCCGTTGAGACAGTTGCTGCTCAGAACTGCCCTTTTCTGCATGCTTCCTGGGTTATGGCAGGACCAATCAGGTGGAAGCTATGAGCTGATTGGTGCTAAGTGGTCCAGTCAGCCAAGGATGAAAATGGTCCAGGGCCTCCCTGGTGGCCTAGGGGTTAAATCTTGGCACCCATCATCACTACTGCCTGAGTTTGATCCCTGGCTGGGATCTGACCCACAGGGCACAGCAGACCTCTCCTGCCTTGCCAGCTGCTCCCCTCAGCAGTGTGTTTCAGTCAGTCTGTCTGTTCTGCTCACTCTACACCTCTGGCCAATACCCCAGTTCTTCTGCACAAAAAAAGAAAAATGGTCCAAACAGACTTGATGTTGGGACACCCTGAAGAGTGATATAAGCCAGGGTTAGAGGGAGCTGAGGGGCTCTGTTCCAACCTCCAAAGAAAGAAGGGGAAGACTCTGTTCCTGGCCTCTGAAGAAAGGAGGGCCAGAAGCTGAAAGAAGAAAAGCAGCATCCAGTAGCCAACCTCTGCAGGAGGAAGAGAGGATGAAGACCTCTGTCAGAGACAGGGCCTCCAGTCCTGTGTCTGACATCACCGGAAAGGAGCACCAAAGGCTCCGAGCCTCATGTCTGAAAGAGCTGTTTGTTGTTGTTGTCCAGCAACTCACAAAGAACGTTTTAACACTTTGTGTCTCTGACATCAGCTGGGATCCCAACTGAAAAGGGTAGTCACAGGGCATGAATGGGATGCCAGGATAGGCCGCAGTGGCACCCACCTGCCCAGGCTCTAAGACAAGAGAGCTGCCAAAAAGCCCCAAAGCCAAAACCAAAGGCTGGAGCAATACAGACCCCATACGCTAGGGGCCTACAGGTTAGAGCCAATGGAAGGATAGTGCCCGGTAGGGGACTTATCACTGTGGTTCTCAACCATGTGCACAATTGCAAGAGACTTCAGGCTCTGGAAACAACCACCTTGGGGTTTATTTTACAAATGGGAAACGGAGCTTACTGTAGCCACAAGTGGTGTCTACCTCAGCCAGGTACTGTCCACCAGAAGTACAAGTAGGGTTCCAATCCCCTGTCACCAGGAGTGCTGAGCAGCACTGGTCAGTAGTGATGGTCACTACTGGTCTCCCTGAGGTAGCGTCTAGCAGAGGCAGCTGGGTTCCAGTGACAATTTGGAGGCCAACTGCCACCTGCCCTCACCCCCCCGCGTCCTCCCTGCAAGTGGAGGAGAAATATCATGAGGCTCAGGAGCTGCAGCAGCAGCGGAACCACTACCTTAGTCACCTTCAGCAGTACATGGCCGCCTACGAGCAGCTCATGGCCACCTACCAGCAGCTGGCCAACGAGAAGGACGTCCTGCAGAAGCCAGTGCTGCTTAACACCCAGCTTGGCAACTGGATGCAGCATGAAGAGCAGGGCAAGATGGAGGTCGAGTTGGCCCGCCAAGAGCTGCTGGAAACACAGGTGGGGCAGTTGGAGTGCCAGACACCCTGTGGCCGCCCGAGCAGGAAGACCTGCGAGCAGCATCCCTTCTCACTCTTACCTGCCAGCCCCACTGAACCTCCTGGCTCGGACTGGAGAAAGTGAGTGGGACTTTAGCAGAGGAGGGGTTTGCAAGAGTGGAAGCCACCCTTAGGACAACTTGGATCCTTCTCCTTTGGGGACTTGCTGGCGCAGGGTTGCACAGAGAGGAGGGAGCAGAGCTTGCTGGCTTTCAGGGCTGCTTCAGAACCCAGGTGTTCTTTGAGCCCCTCTGGCTGCCCCCCCCCCCAACAGTAAATGGACTGAGCAGTGAGGAGGAGGAGGAAGAGGAGAACAAGGATCCCCTGCCAAAGCTAAGCATCCCTGACGACCTAGACAGCCGCGAGGCCATGGAGGGGAGAGTGTGCCTGGGGAGATCCACCCGGCCTTTCAGGGAGCCATGGAGAAACTGCAGGTGAGTGTGTGTAAGGCAGGAAGGAATGGCCACAGGGCAGGTTTTCTGATCCAGCAGACCGGGTAAAGGAGAAGTGAGTCCTGGAAGCCTCAGTGAATTTTGCAGACTTTTATTGGGCTTTACCAGATACATGGCAGGTAGGGGTACTAGGGGGCCAGGAGGCTGACAGGCCTCCCAGCCCCCAGCAAGTCTTCACTCTTTCTGGGCTCTCTGGCGTTCTCTGGTGGTCTCTGCTGCTCTGCTCTCTCGGTTCTGCTTCTGCTTCTCTGCTGCTGCTGGCGTCCCCGTGACGCCGCCCTTAAAAGCCCAGTCTTGGGCCTCCCTGGTGGCGCAGTGGTTGCGCGCTGGGTTCTGAAGCTGCCCACAGCCTCCGCGGCGCTGGTTTGATTTCTGGCCGCAGGGCGAGGGTCCCACACGGTACGCAGACCTCTCCTGCCGCCCGCTGCTCCCCTCAGCAGTGTACTTCGGTCCTTCTGCCTGCTCTGCTCCCCGCTCTGGCTCTGGTGAATTCTCTCACCCTCCCGCGCTTCTGACTGTACCCAGTGCTTGTATGAATAAATAAATCTTTAAAAAAAAAAGAGACTGACTTCACAAAGTTCATTTAAAAAAATAGATAAATAAATGAATAAAAGTCCAGTCTTAGCCCAGATGAATCCCATCTACCTATACCCACACCCTACTCCAGGTGCCCGCATCAGGCATGCATTTGGGACCACAGGGTTCCGTCATCCATCCTAATGGCGGCAGGGCAGAAAAGCCTGATACTTTTACCTGCCAGACAGTCTATACGAGTTATACACACGTTTCTCTTGACGAATATGAACACTGCAGCCATGGCCCACAAAAGCAAATGAAATATATCACAATGAAATATAACAGAACACAAATAAGTCCAGGCAGGGCACCGACCTAGGGGCAAAAGACTATTGGCACCAGTACGTGATCCACCACTTCAGCTGCCAAAGGCACTGCTCATGCGAGGGAGGGAACCACTCAGGCATCTGCCGTCACTCGCCAGGAGCCCTCAGGCCTCCCGGCCCCCTCCAGCTGGGGTCTCGGCCACAAGCCACACACCGCATCCACCCCCAGGATGCACTCACTCTTGGGTTGGCGATTCTGTACTCTTTGGGGGTAATCACCCAACCCTCAGGGTTTCTGTCTGCAGTCACTCCAACACTCGCCTTTCATAGCCACCAATGCGACACGCAGGCCCCTGCACTCAGGCCAGCCCACTGCACAAGCACATGGGTCGGGGATCCGTGGATGCAAGTCCACATGCAGCCTCTCTTGGGTCCCTTCTTTGGCTGTGGGCCCCACCACAAGCCACGTTCCCTGCCCGTTCCCCAAGGATGGGTTCCTCAGCTCCTCACTCTCACTCAGCAATGAACAGGGCAACACCCACAGGTGATTTTAAGAGACTCACTGGCCTTCTTTAGCTTACGTAGTGCTTAGCAGCCACTCAGGGCTTCCCGAACTTAGCACCAGCTTTTGCCTTCTCAGTTGGCTTTTTCTCCTCTGCCTGGCTGCTGGGCAGTACACTGGCTGCTTTTGGCCACCAAGGCCCACTGGCCACCCCCAGATTCCCATCTCCGGGGGTGTACAATCCCATCCTCCCCCAGGGCCCCCAAAACATATCAAACTTGCCAAGGTCCTCCGCCTTCTGGCGGGATTGTTAGTCCATTAGTCCAAGTTCATCGGCTTTTCCCTTTGTCCACACTGGGGAGCTCTGAGTCGTGGTCCTTTCTTCCCTAACGATTCTTGCTGCCTCGGGGATCATTGGCTGGTCCTCTTGGGCATCTCCTCCTCCAGGCAAGGTCTCATCCTGCAGCTTCCGGACCTTTTCCATCCCCTGTGCCGCCATGACACGTCCAGCGCTGTCACAGGGAAACACAGTCTGCTGTTCCTCAGTCCCTCCCAGTCTTCGGAGGGCTCCATACCCGTCTGCATGGATCACCTTGCCGACTTACGTCAATTGTAAGGCAGAAAGGAATGGACACGGGGCAGGTTTTCTGATCCAGCAGACTGGGTCCAGGAGAAGAGAGTCCTGGAAGCCTCAGTGGCTTTTGCAGGCTTTTATTGGGATTTACCAGGTACATGGCAAGTAGGGGTGCTGGGGGGCCGGGAGGCTGACAGGCCTCCCAGCCCCCAGCAAGTCTTCACTCTTTCTGGGCTCTCTGGTGTTCTCTGGTGGTCTCTGCTGCTCTGCTCTCTCGGTTCGGCTTCTGCTGCTCTGCTTCTGCTGGCGTCCCCGTGATGCCGCCCTTAAAAGCCCATCTTAGCCCAGGTGAATCCCATCTACATATGCCCACACCCTACTCCAGGTGCCTGCATCAGGCATGCATTCAACCGCAGGGTTCCGTCTTCTATCCAAATGGCGGGAGGGCAGAAAACCTGATAGTTTTTTCTTACCCTACAGTGTGGTTCTCTGGAGGGCTGGGCGGGCTGGGTGCTGGGCAGGCCAGCACTGCTGAGCCCCTGAGCCCACTGTCTGGCTGCAGGGTCACTTTACCGAGCTCATGCAGGAGAAAGTGGCCTTACAGGACTGGATGGAGGAGCTGGAGCATCGATGTATCCAGATGTCTGGAGAGACTGACACCATCAGTGAGTGGGGAGGCCTGTGCCCTGAAGCTGGGGTGTTATGAAGAGGCTAGGGAGACCCCAGCAGCTGAGCTATCTACACACCCTCCCCCTAGGAGAATACATCGCTCTCTACCAGACCCAGAAAGCAGTGATGAGGAAGGAGCACCTAGAGAAGGAGGAGTCCATAAGGCAGCTGGCCCAGAAAAAAGAGGAGATGAAGGTAGTTCAGAGCTCTGGCTCCATGGTGGTGCAGGTGGGGGCGGGATGGGTTTCTGAGTGTCTCTGCTTCCAGGTGAAGCTGTTAGAGCTGCAAGAGCTGGTTTTGTGGCTGGTGGAGGTGCACAACGAATGGCGGGTGAAGCTCCAAGCACCTGCCCAGAACCCTGCTGCTGATCCCACTAGCGCATGACTAGCCCCCAAGGAGCTTGGCGCTGCCATTGGCCAAGGTGAGGAAAGCCCTGCACGGGCATCTAGGCAGGAGGAGCACACTCCGCCAGGCACACAGCATCCTGTCTCTGTCTCTCTAAATCACAGAGTGAGGTGAGCCTCGTCTACGACTTACAGCCGACCCAGGGGGAGGCCCAGCTGGGCCTGACTCCGCTCAAGAACACCTCTGTGCAGCAGATCATTCAGCTGCTTCAAGAAATGCAGAACCCCCAGGAAGGCATCACCATTGGAAACAGCCCATGCCTTCCCTTCTTCTACCAGGCTGACGACAACGAGGTGAAGATAATGGTGGTCTAGGCCACCAGCATGGGCCGGAGGCTCTGCCCCCACCTGGCCCTCACCAACCCATCCCTGTTCCCCAGGCTTTCCCCCCCTGTCCTTTGGCTCTCCTTCCCAGTCTTCATTTTATCCCTTGGCTTAAAAAAGGGGTACAACAACTCCCCTATCTAATAGGGGGAAACAGGTGCAGACCCTAGCCTCTTAGTTCAGGGCAGTGTCTTAATCTCTGGGCTATTCATACTTCCAGAGACAAGGAGCTAGAAACATCCAACTAGTTATTTAGGGGGCTCCCTTCTACAACATTGGGGCTCCTTGATGACCAATTGAATCCTTACCAGAGGGCCTAGGTTATATCAGGCAATTTGGGGCCACGTGCCCCCCCACGCTACCCCAACCATGTGGAGTGGGGCAGCATTTTGAAGGCCCGGCACGGGGGCTAAGTCCAGACAGAGATACCAGCTGGTGCAGGTGGGCACCTACACCTGTCTAGAGTGTAGCCAAGAGATAGCAGTGGTTTATTTGAGACCACCCAGATCCACAAAGGGGTGGCCTCCCCTGCTCCCTTTTGAAATTTCCCCACGGCCCTTTACACCCAATTTTTTTTTTAATTTTTTGTTGGACTCAATAATTGTTTTGATTTTTCTTTATTTTTTTTTCTTTTTACTTTTTGTTGCACCCAATTATTTTGGAGGTGATCCCTATTTGCAGAGGGGAGGCCTCTCCTACTACCCCCTCACAAAAGGCCTCTCCTACTACCCCCTCACAAAAGGCCTCTCCTCCTTCCCCCCTCACAAAAGGCCCATGGGCATGAGGCCACCCCAATCCACAGAGGAGTGGCCTCTCCTGTCCCGCCCCTCACTAAAGACCCGTGGGCATGAGGCCACCCCAATGCACAAAGGGGTGGCTTCCCCCCTGTGCCCCCTCACAAAAGTCCTGCAGGCGTGAGGCCACCCCAATCTGCAAAAGGGTGCCTCCCCTTCCCTCCTCTCAAATGTCCCGCAGGTATGAGGCCACCGCAGTCCACAAGGGGGTGGCCTCCACTTGCTGTCTTTACAAAAGTCCCGTGGGCCTCTGTGCCTGATTATCTTGGAGGCCACCCTGGATTTGCACAGAGGTGGCCTTCACTGCTTCTTTAATAAAAGGTCCCCATAGAGGGGATGCATGGCTTACTCAGGCAATTTGGGGGTACACATTTACTCCCCCAACCCTGTGGAAAACTGGGCTTGGCCAGAAGCCGGGCTGGGGTGGCTGGTGGAGGCCAGGCGGAAGGCGCGCGGGCACCCCGCGGTGTACATACTGTGCTGGGACATGTGTACATGGGGCTGAGACGGCCCCTGTATCACAGCGGAGGCTGCGGTGGCCCCTGGGAGAGGAGGTTTCTATGAATCAGTTGACATCGAGGAAACTTATTTATAGATCGCCCAGGACAGAGGAAGGAGGCAAGGCCAGGGAGTGGTTCCTGGTGTTTCACTTTTGTTTCTGAATAAACCGAACTCACCACGTGGTTGGGCCCTGGGATCTGGGCTCAGGTGCTGCGCTGGGTGTGGGTCCTGCCAGCAGAGGGCAGACTTTGGGGTGCGAGGTGCTCTCTGCAGCTGCCTGTCAGGGCATCCAACCCAGCTCAGCTCTTAGGCCCTACAGGTGCCACCCATCCACTGCGTGCCACCCCGGGAGGGCCAGGTCCTGCTCTGATGACCAAGACTGGGAAACCTGGTCTACTTCTGTGGGAGGAAAGCAGGGTGCCAGCACCCCAGACTACTGGCTTCCAGCCTAGGCATTTCTCCTCTCACCCTGTTCCTCTGGGGCCCCCACCCAGGCCCCATGAGTCCTCCAGGCTGGCACTCTACCCCTGGTGGCCACAGCAGGGTTCAGATGAAGACCAGCTAACATCCAGGTGCTTTCCAGGGCAGCCCGGGAAGGACTGGGGCATCCCAGGCACCCCTGCGTCCACATGCTTAAGACTTCCCCTCCCACTGAATGCCACAGAACACAACCAGCACACAACACGTTGCTCCCCATTGTTCAGAAATGGGTTTCATTCTCGGCCAAGAGACAGCAGGACTGGTCACGGCCAGAAGCACACAGCTGCCCGGACAGCACCCCCATGCTCGGGGAAGGGGCAGGAAGGTGGCTGGGGGGGCTGACTGTGCACAGGCCGGGAATGGCAGGGAGGCTCGTCGGAGGTGGCACGTGTTGGGGGCGGCTGGGGTGACGGTGTTTGCTTGTAGTTGGGCCGCAAGACTCAGAAGGACAGCACAGCCGGCAGTTCCCAGCACCAGAGATGCATGCGTGTACGTGTGTGTGCCCGTGTATTTATAGACATGTATAGAGCAGGGCAGGAGCAATACCACCGAGGGGGCACAAGAGTCACCGAGGTCACGCCTGGGGTGTCAGCTCACCGCCACAACAGACTAAAGTCACAGATGAAGGGGGAGGCTTGGGGGCTGGGGGCCAAGTCACAGAACAGTCACCCAGGCAGGCCTGGGAAGAGAGGTGTCCCAGGAAGAGGAGGGGTCTGGTTAGAGGCTGAAGGGGCCCTGGGGCTCTCAGGACAGCATGGACTTGCCTGACCCGATCAGCTGGCAGCTGGAGAGAAGCAGAGAGAAAACCGGGGAGGGAGAGAAGGGGGAGAGCTGGGAAGGCAGGTGCAGCCTGGGCTGCAGCACTGGGGGGGAGGTGGGGAGGGAAGACGAAGCAGGGGAGGGTGTGGGCAGGGGTTCTGGATGAGAGGGGAGGGGGACAGGGAGGGGGGACTCAGGAGCAGGAGCTGGAGCCTCTCCCTGCTCGCTCAACGGCCTCTCACACACACGAGACAGTGCACCCATAGGCCAGCATGTGATCGGCCCCCTCTGGCCCCCTCCTCTCTGCTCCCCTGTCTTTCAACCCACCGGCCCAGGGTCACCCTTAGTGTCAGGAGTAGGGGCCCGCGGGCCGATGCGACACCACCATTCCTGATGGAGAAAGACAGGCGGAATACCACTGTACCCGGAGGGCAGAGCTGAGAGGATGGCTGGAGGGAGCACTGGGGGCCCCCTGGGGTGGGCAGAAAGCCCAGGAGTCCTCCATATTGACCCTGGGGAGGCAGGGAGGACAGGAGGCCAGATGCCAATGGCCACAGGCTTATAAGTCTAAGAGGGGAGCCTCAGCAGGCTGGGGGACCGCAGGTTGAATAGGTGAGGCTGGGCCCTTCCTGGTGTGGAAAAGCAGAAGAGCAAGCATCAGTGTAGGGGTGGGGGGGCAGGCAGGTCTGTGGGGCAAGTTTTACTGACCAGCTTGGGTAGAACTCAGAGAAGCCGACTTGTCCAGGTCAGCAGACACTGAGGTCCCCTGGCTGAAAAGGGGAGGTGACCCTAAGGAACAACAGGCCCAGGTCCAAGGGCCTGCAAGCAGGCTACGGTGCTTCACCTGGGGCACAGGGGCTGGTTGGCCCTGTGCTGGCAGGCACAGCAATACTGGGCACTTAGAGCAAGGCACTCTGTGACTTGCCTGGTTGCAAGGTGGCTGTGGGCCGAGGGTGTGGCTTGGACCCTCAGGCTTTCCAAAGCCATCAGACAACCTGAGCCTTCCTGAAGGTGACTCAGTTGCCACAATAAGGAGGAGGGTTCAGACCTCCTCTGCCCTGTGTTGGACCTGGTTCCAAAGCTCCCAAGGCAGCTGCCCTGCCCCAGCAGCATGCTCACATAGGGGGATGGGGGCTGCACCCCCAGGATGAATTTCGAAGGCTCCCTGACGGCCTGCTCCCTGACAGCGGCACAAGCGTCCTATCAGCTCAACACCCTGCGTGACCATCTGCTCTGCGGGCCCTCGAGCCTAGAGACTTCCACAGCCAGAGAACATCCACCTAGGTGGAAGACCTGGCTGAGACAAGTCGCAGTGACTGTCTTCAGTCAAAGGTACTTTGAGAACTTGGGGTTGGCTTGCCTGTATGAACGTAAGTGTGTGTGTGACCAATATAGGAATAAAAATTCTCTCTGAGAGCCAACTTCTGACTGAAGCTTATCTATCACCCTCGCGGCAGATGCCTTCTCTCAAACCTCGGTCCCTTGGGCCTTACGCCAGATATGTGCCCTAAGCGTCTCATCTTTTACTGCAGCGCTGTGTGGCCTCAATACCAATTGGACAATGGCTCCCACGGGCCGAGCATGGCGCTTGTGACTTCTCGATCCTTACAGACCTAAACAGTTCTGTCACCGCAATGGAAAATGGTCAGAGATCCCTTAGGGCCAGGCTGGCTTTCTCTTGTGCTCCCGTGCCCCCCTCCAGCCCCTCCCTCCTGAAAACCTGCCACACTCTCCAAGTCTTGAGACTCCTCTCACTCTCCCCCTCTCTGGACCCTCTTCAACGTTCTCTGATCCTCTAGTTCTCAGTCTTCACCTCCTCCAGCTCCCCAATCCAGCCTCCCCTCTTTTTTTCACCTCCTAGCTGCCACACCCGCTCTGGGTTGTCCTCTTCTAGGTCCCCTCAGGGAAGTGGCAGGGACAGAAGGAGGAGTTAGAGTCCATGTTCCTTCCTCTCCCTCTGGTCTCTCCCAGACTGAAAAGCTTCTTGGCTCTTTCACTAACAATCCCACCACCTACACCAAAGAGTTTCCTTATCTTACCCAAGCCTGTGACCTTACTTGTCATGATTACATGTGATCCTCTCTTCCACCCTGACCTCTGACAAAAGGGAGCAGGT